TGTGTGTGTGTGTGTGTGTGTGTGTGTGTGTGTAAAATCATTAGTCAAGAGTTGGAGCAGTCAATGTGTGTACTTTATTATTATTATTATTATTATTATTTTTTTGTCTTTTTAAATTCAGACTATATTTTAAATTAACATTGTTCTCCAATTAGCAGAACCGTAGTCCAGATTAAGACCTAAATTTAGTTCCGCCCAGATTACCATTCCTAAAATAACAATACATTTGACAGTTGACATGAAAACAAGATTAAACCAGTTTCATTTTCTTTTAGTTCAAGTTTGCAATAGTGATGATGGGCCGGCATCAGTATATCAATGAGGAAGACTACGAGGTGAATCTGAAAGACTTTGAGCCACAGCCAGGTATGTTACACTCCTTTGACCTATGACATCTCAATCAGTAGACACTGCATTTATGTTTGTGCCAACTTTACTATGTTCTGTCCTTTCTCAGGGAACATGTCGCACCCGAGGCCTTGGTTAGGGCTCGACCATTTCAACAAAGCTCCAAAGAGAGGTCGCTACACGTATCTGGAAAAAGCGATCAAGATTCACAACTGACAAGCCCCCGCTCTAACCGACCATACTAAAGACTTTAACCAAACCTGTTGTGTGCACCACTTTTAACACCTGCTGTCTGGGTACACAGGCACCATGTATGAAGTCTTCAGCGAATGGAGTGACTGCTGATGCTCCTGTTTTCCTTTTTGAGGCTGTTCGATTTGGCTTCTCTAACTATTTACTGCCTATTTGTCTGGAAGAATGAATTGGATTTTAACAAGAAAGGGGAACAGTATGTCCTAGACTTTTGTTTTGATTTAGATATTTTTTTTGTTGTTGTTGTTTTTTTTTTTTTTTTTTTTTTTTTTTTTTTTTTCTTTTTAAGTTTGTTTTAAAAAAAAAAAAAAAAATTTGTTACGGCAAGAAAGCTGCTGCATTGTGAGGTGGAGGCGATGGAAAGAAGAGTTTTGTCATTTGCAGAAGATTGAAAGGATTCCTCCATCCTTCAACAAAAAAGTTCACCGCAAATGGCTGAGGCTTTTGCTAGTTGCCCTGACATGGTTGTCTATTTTCTGGTCCCTTAGTGCAACTAGTCAATTTTCATGTTTACACCATTCTTCTTTCTCACTTAGTTTAGTTGGAGAAATTCAGTTTGTCTTCTCTGGAAATCCTGTATAATAAAGTAAAGAGCCACAGCATCCGTTTTAAAATAAATAAAAATGAAATAAATTGTCTGTTCTTCATCTTGCACGTTGGCACTTAATATCCAAGGTTTTACATTTCTCAGCGCTGTTAAATGTAATCTTTGGTTGGAGTTTGATTTGCATATCCCTTTGGTTTTTTATCCCTTTTTTTTCTCTCCCCATAAAGTTTTGTTTTCCCTGTTTGTTAGCTCCTGTCACTGGCTGTGGGATTATTCTGATGTTAAGGGAGGGGTCGCTTTGCTGATGGCTCCAGATTCATTGTACTGTTTGTTGGCACGAGGCTACAGACGTATAGAAGACTGGTTTGGGACTTAGAGAAACCAGCATTAATGAACCAATACCATTGTTTGTTTTTTTCTTTAAGCACAGAAGGAATGCTCCCTAGTGCATAGTTGGCTTTGTAAAAACAATTAAAATTGTATATTTAAAGAATGAACATGTAAAATTAAAAACACCGATTTGTTGGGTACAGATCAATTCAGATGTTCATATTCATTGTGTAGTTTTATTTTGGATCCTGGCAGTTTCATTTGGTCATTATTTTTTTCCCTTAACTAATTGCAACAGTTTGTCTCGTTTAAGTGCAGTACAAAGAAGACCTGCAGATCACAACTATCTTTTTTGATTTCTTTTTCTCTTCAGTCTAATTCTTCTGTGTAGCAGCAGTGTACGACAACTCTTCCTGTATATTGCCTTTTTGCTGGAAAATGTATGTTGAATAAAATTTTCTATAAAAGCTACCACCATGGCATTGTATATTTAAAGAATGAACATGTAAAATTAAAAACACCGATTTGTTGGGTACAGATCAATTCAGATGTTCATATTCATTGTGTAGTTTTATTTTGGATCCTGGCAGTTTCATTTGGTCATTATTTTTTTCCCTTAACTAATTGCAACAGTTTGTCTCGTTTAAGTGCAGTACAAAGAAGACCTGCAGATCACAACTATCTTTTTTGATTTCTTTTTCTCTTCAGTCTAATTCTTCTGTGTAGCAGCAGTGTACGACAACTCTTCCTGTATATTGCCTTTTTGCTGGAAAATGTATGTTGAATAAAATTTTCTATAAAAGCTACCACCATGGCCCTTGAAGAATTGTGACTAGACACTGTTCAGATTGTAATGCTGTGCTTGTCATGTAATATGAAGATTTCAGTGTGTATAAACAACATGCAGAGTTCTCATTACGATATTGCACAGACACGTTTCAGTTTTATTGTTATGACAGTTCCATTTAGATGCACATATGACATATTTGACATTCTAAAAATTCAGACTACTTACAGAAGTAAAAAAGAATGCTAGTCAGCTTTGGCAGTATGGTAATTCAAAAAATGAGTTTTGAAAGTATGATTTCCATTATTTTAATTAAGAGATCTTGTTGGTTCTAAATTAAGTGTTCTCAACCTTTTTGACTCCAAAGCCTCCCAGTGCCCACAGCAATATTCAATGACCCCATGACTTTTTCCCAGTTTTTTTGTAGTATATACTAGATGAGGATTTTAAAAAAAAATTTTTTTTTTTTTTTTTTTTAGATGCAGGGTTGTACCCAATAAAATATATTAGATCTTGACATAACTACATAAATGACTATTTTTTATTTTATTTCAAATATTTACATGACTTTTTAAGTTCTAGAAATCATACTTTCAAATGAAGACACCTCGTGTGTCGTGGCTTTTCTACACTGTTTTTAAAAAATAACATTTCCAAATAGGTGTACGGTGATGCCGTGGAAGAACCAATTTTGGTTCCCCAAAAAAACTTTCGTTTTAACACTTTCATTTTCTCATTTTAATAATCTAAAGAACATTTTTCCACTATAAAGAACCTTTTGTCCAACTGGAAAGTTTCCCTGGATGTTAAAGGTTCTTCATGAACCCAGTTGATGCCAAAATTACTGATATTTACGTTGTGATGTAAAAATCACATTTTTGGTTCCACAAACTCCTCAACCCTCTGAAGCTTTAACCCTGAGTCCTTTATAGATATACAATCAGAATGAGTATATTCATATTCATCTGAGAGTGTAATAATGTAATAATAAAGACTAAGCCAGATGAACATCAAAAGGTTCTGAGTTACAAAGATTGCAAAGCATTCGTTTATACAAGCAAGTTTGTACTAGATGACATCTGTGTTGACCCGAAAGTGTCCTCCAGTCCTTCATGTAGTTTAAGGTGCCATACAAATCCATGAGTGGTGTTAAAATTGGGGAAGGGTTAGGATAAAGGTTAGCAGCATCGCTTCCTTTCAATGTGCAGGATCTTATTGCATTTCGGGCATGTGTGATAGACGTCTTTGAAAAACTTCATGAAGAACGGAATCAGACAGCAGCACAAAACAAACCTGGAAAAGAGGAAGACAGATTGGCTTTGATCATGCGCACAAGATTTAATATTTTTAGCTGCAAATTCAAATGGACTCTCACCCGCACAGGATGAAGAGTAAGCACATCAACCAGGCGTAAACTCCCACTTTGTAGGTGACATTGGTTAAGACCTGCTGTTGGCAGGTTGTGCAGGTGGCCATTCCTGGATTGCGACCCAGCTCATATGATTCGTAGCTGACGAATTTGTTTTTGGCTTCCGTTGACTGAACTACAGGAGAAGAACGTGTTTTAGTAAGTGTTTTATTTTTTTAATCTCTGATTTTTGTTTACCATTATACAAGTTTTCATCCAATAATGTGTTATCTATCTTATATTTAGTACAACACTAGAGGGTCGTTGTAAACAGGAAGCCTTGATTGTCACAAAAGTTTCACAAGTAGCCTAATTTGTACATTTGTTTGTTCCACCACAGAATGAAAAATGTGAAGGTAAATACGACTTTTTATCTCGTAATTCTGACTTAATTTCTCACAATTCCAAGTTGACATCTCGCAAATCTTACTTTTTTTCTCAGAATTGTCAGTTGTGTCAGACAGATCCAATTCCTTTCGCAAGATTAGGCGCCCCTTTAAAGCGATTTAAACCAAGAATTCTGAGGGGGGGAAAAGTCAAAATTGCGAGATGCAAATCTATTATTCATGCCCCAGTGCGTGATGGGAAATACGGGGTCATAACTTTGATATTTACTTAAAGAATCCTTGTAAACATAACAAACAATTCCAAGTAAAATATGCTTATAATTTCAAACTTTAATTTCTACAAGCTTAAATTGAGTGGTAATATAGAATTTACTTAATATTTTAAATTATTGATTTCATGTAGAAATTACATTTGTTTTTATGTAGTATTTACTTCACCACAAAATAATTTTTATCAGTGTGGGAAATAAAGTCTGAATTGTGTTATAAACTTGCAATTCTAAGAACGAAAGTCAGATTTTATATAAATATATGGTTTTTATTATTTATATTAGTATTATTTTATTTCATGACAGAAACAGGCTTCCATAAACCATGCACATTTTAGTTTGATTTAAATGTTGCATAAAAGCAATATAATGACCTAGCAATCATCCGATAGGCCTATAGTTAGTGTAGCCTACAGTCAAATCCTGACATTATCAAGCAAAACATGGGTAATTCTTTCCGCGTGGTTTTCCAACGATAAATGACGGGTAACAGCAGGCTCACCAGGTCTGGCTGATTCCATCTGGTTTCGAGAATCTTCAATAGTGGAGCTTGGTGGGGTGAATGGAGTGTGCACATGGTAGACCTTGACGTTGGAGCCCTTGGCACCCTCTACTGTTGATGCCAAGCAAAAAGATACAGAGAGAACATTTATATTTCTGAAATATATCCATTTCAGAATTCCACATTTGCGTCACACACACTGGCTTGATTGTTTTTCCATTATTATGAGTCATTCAAAATGAACAATGATAATTGGCTTACCTGGAATGACATATGGAGGTGGTTCCCCAGTTCTGTTAGCACTCATTCTGTCTTTGGCTGGGTGTAAACTGCTGGGACAAAATAAAAGTCTTAATATGTGATGTGATGTTTTACGATATATTTTTTCATATGCTAAAACGTGCTAAAATGACGTCTGTGCATCATACTGTTTACAAATGTGATTATGCATTGGTAACTTTAATTATCTGTTACTGGTAAGTAAAAACATGAGATAATTCTCAGTAAAGATGCTGAAATGGGCAGAACACCTTCAAAGGGCAATGCCATGTCAACTCTCACTTTCTCAAGGAAATAACCTGAACGCTCATGTTCTCTTCTTCCAGCTCAATAATCATCAATATATGTGTAGCTGCCAACTTCCTGGTGCTCAGACTTGTTTTGCCAAAGTGAGTAAAACTCAAACATATTATAAGTCATGTGGCATTTATTTCCATGATTATATGGTAGGGTAAACGCCTTAGTTAACAAAAAGGTGACAGTGTTACAAGCCCTGATTGATATAGACATCCACCCAAAGACAGAAGTGGAATGTTGTTCTGCCGCATGCTTCTCATGGAAAATAGGAGCTGGCTAAACTGACAATTTCTCAACAATATGATTTTGTGTGTAGTATAGACCAAACCACACACACACACACACACAAGCTCCAGCAACTGTGTTAGGAATTAGGGATAATTTGGACATAAAACAGCCTGAGTTTGTCGTTTGTTATCATTCATCAGATCTCTTAGATTTTCTCTTAAATGAGATCTTGTTTTCACTTCTAGAAAAGATTTTTGGATTACACTGGTTTACCTCTCTAACCAAATATATCAGATCAACACCAGAGCACAAAACATTTCCACCAAATTTATATGTCAGTGCGGATATAAATTATTATAAAGTTATTTTGATTATGTTTAGGTGTGTATCAGTAGGAGGTGACCTGGAAACGTAAAACAGCCTAAATACGTCAGCTGTTTTATTAAAGCAAAAGCACACAAAGTCAAAAAGCACCATTCATTGGTCAGCTTTGATCAAAGCATTCACTGCGCTGTCTTTTTTATTAAATGACGCATTTTAGCTCCTGCTGTTCAGCCATAACAAAGCTTAACAGTCAAATCATAACAAGGCCTCAAAATCTTTAATTTACCTTTATTAACATTTGTACTTTTTTAACTCTTCTTCTATGCTTCAGCTATTTCTTAAATCCCTCTCTGTTCTGTCTTGTACTATTCCAGAATATATTTTTGAAACTGTATTGTTAGCACTTCTCGTCTTATTGCCTCCTTAAGATGACTCACTTATTGTAATCATCATTTCTAAGTCGCTTTGGATGAATAAATGTAAATGATATTTGATTTACCCTTTGATAAATTGCTTTCTTATTATATATTACAACAATACCGTTGTTGTACAATGTACAGTTGTACAGTTACAGAACAATGCATAACATGTATGAACATTACTTTTTTAAACTTATATGGTCTTCTGATTTGAAACAAATCAACCTTTAAATCATAATAAATAACCTTAATCAGCAGTCGCTGAACATTTGCCATTCAGAGTTCTAATTACATTCAACAAACAATTCAAGATAAAAACCATAAAAGTAATATAAACAGCAGTGCCAAACTGTTTAATAGTTTTTAGCTAATTTTTACTTCCTAATCTTAAACCTAAATCCAAAAGTGCTCCAAAACTCCAGAAAGTCTAGTTAGCAAAGTTCAGTGCACAGCGAGCTTTCTTACCTGTCTTGTTGAGGCTGTCGCTGATGGTTAGACTGAAACCAGTTTCTATGGCTTTTACAAGCTTTTCATAGTCTCTCGACTACTCCACCCCACCTACTAATACATTAACATATTCTGTCACCTTTTATGAATGCTGTTATGACAGAAACAGGAAGAAGGCTATATTCTTTCCACATTTGTCACTGAAAACGTCTCTGACTAACCAGTTTTGCTGATAGCAGTCAATGGCGGCTTATGTGAATATAAACATACTACTGCTCGACTGAAAATGACTGAAAAATCAGCAAATCAGTGTATTGTGGTAGCAGGTGGTTTTTTTTTTGTTTGTTTGTTTTTCACACCTGGCATTTCCACCTTAAAGACTTTTCTGCTATAATGTGAAGTTGGCCAGAAAATATGGTAGCCTAAACAGAACTAAACTGAAGTTGTGTGACTCATTTACTCTAGTGTTTTGTTGAGATTGATTTTACTGTCTTTGGCATTCCAGAGCCTTGACTTATGTATTCAATTAATAACAGCTTCAAAACTTCAAAATTCTAAATTAACCAAGTATTTTCTTATAGTATGTTCCTACTGCCTGAGGTGCTAGGATGGGCTCCAACATCCCCCTTATCCTATACAGGCAGTTTTGTGGGTGAATGGATGGAAAGAATGAAGGATGGATGGATATTAGATGTGTAAAAGCCATTTGACAGCTGTTAATGAAACTTTTGATTTTAATTCTGTTGTATCACATAGTACATATTCCCCTAGTATATTTGAATGTTGATACAGTAATGTTAGTGTCATTGTGACCTCCTGTGAAGATTTAAATCTGGTGTCTCTTGAGAACATAATCTTATAATCTTACAATAAGATTCAACATATCTTTACAGAGTCTATTAATCTAGGTGATGTTTTCTTATACATATACTAATACAAGTTGTATGAATTAGCATTAGTTGTATTATAAACAAG